AAGTTCAACACTGTTTCCAGATTTCAATCTCTAACTTTGAAAAATCACCATAAATCGTACACATATCCAAATGAAGTGTTCTATGTAACACCTTACGTTTACGACCTTATATTATGCCAAGTTAAGATATTCGGAAGCGCAATTTAAGGTTACCGGGTTGAAAAACCTGAATTTGAAAATTCTTTTCCCGCATTACTATTCACCGTAACCTTAAACTTGGCATAACTTTGGAAAATCATAACTAATTCTAGAAAAATTGAAATAAGGTCGTTCCAAGTCTCACTCGTAGCTCTTAACATCATCTATCAAGGAAAAATGACCTCAGGTTCCACTTTAATCAGAAACACATCCGTTTTCAATTTCAAAAAGTACTGTTCATTTGGTCATTTTTCTATTTTCCAGGATTTTTGCCTAACTTTGAAAAGGCATAACTTCTTACACAGAGCTCTGATTGTGACGCTTTACCACTCATTTCAAAGGGAAAAATAAGATCTATTTGCATGCCAAATTTCAGGGAAAAAGTCAACCATTTGACTAGGGTCTTTGTTGGTCAAAGTTTGGTCAAATCTAGACCATTTTTATCCCCCTTTTCACTGATTCTAACAGCATTTCGTTTTTCACTATAAGCATACCATAATTACACATAAAGCTACTCTACCATTAATATACATTCAAAAAGGTTATCACATCATGTGTTCACAATGAGAGTATGCTTACATGGCTTGAAAGAGAAAGGTTCAAAACCGTATAATACAATACATAATTCATAACTTCCTCAAGCCATGATTATTTCCTTTCCCTTCTCCTTGGCAGTAGTGGCACCTAGAATATCATGTTATAGGAGGAATGAGATTTCATAGAAATCCCAGTAACATTGAACATACAATCATCAAGTCAACATGCATAAGATGTCATGCTACATGCAGTATAATAACATTTCTAGTCTTTGTGCCATGCCATAACCATTCTGTATCCATGTCATCATATCATGGAGCATATAATCATTCTGGTCTCAACTCAATCATGCAAGAGCCAAGGCATACATTGCAAGGAGTTCACATCATCTGGGCATAAACATTCTCATGGCACATAAACACACATAGCAGAAACACCAAATGCAGATCAACAAAATAATTGCAGTTCACGCTACCTCAGTTCCACGCTTAATGTTTCCTCCTTGTTTCCTTGCTGGAGATCCTCCTAGGTTTCCAGAAAATTGCCTATCAACCATACAGTAAGGGTATGGTAAATTCCATATCCAGTATACCATTCTTTCTCAATATAATGCTACCCTTGTGCCTTTCAATTTATAATTTCTGTATACCTTTCCTAAACCTTTGACCTTGGTTTGACCAAGCCTTAATCCTCAGTTAAGGTCTTGGAATTCTTCCTTAATCCATGATTAATCATGCTTTCTTGGTTAATCACTAACCCTTAATCCTTAATCCAATATTTAATTAAGGTCCTCAAGTCACATAGTCATTAGTACAACATAATCTTCTAGGATTAAGTCACTAATCCCTTATGGATTAACCATTAATCATTCTCTACTCAACATGATTAACCCTTAATCATTCCTTAATCAACATGATTAACCTTTAATCATTCCTTAATCAACATGATTAACCTTTAATCATTCCTTAATCAACATGATTAATCATTAATCATTCCTTAATCAACATGATTAATCATTAATCATTCTCTGATCAATATGATTAAGCTTTAATCAATCCTTAATCCACATGATTAACCATAATTAATCATCCTTCAATTATCATAACTAATCACTAATTAATTAGGGTAGCTAATTACTTACTAATCCTTAATCAAATAACATGATTAATCTTAGTTATCACTAAACCATAATTAATCAAGGTAATTAATCCTAATCTTCCTCAAATAAACAATCAACTAACAATAATTGACACTTAGGGAGATAAACATACCTTAATTAGCTCTTAACCGGCGATTAGAGGTGTCTAATCTTGCTTTCTCCCTTTCTCTCTCTTCTTTCTTCCTTTCTCTCTCCTAGAACTCAAGAACACAACATTCCCTCTCATGCAAACCACCTTGGCCGAATTTGTTCATGGAAGGGGGGTATTTATAGGCTTTGATATTTCAAAATGCCAAAAATGCCCTTCGGGAAAAAGATGCGATCTCGGCCGTCCATTTTTTTCTACTTTACACATGGACAAATCTTAGGGCACACACCATAAGAAGTTGACACATGGATGGACACCTAATCACCATGTGATTTTCATATGGAAATAAAATATTATTTTATTGTTTTGTCTCTTATTTCCCTTTATGCCCTTGAACAATTTGGAAAATTCCAACTTTGTCCTCCCCTTCTAATTTTGGCCGAAATAGTGCTCTCAATATTGGAAAAAAAATGACTCATCCAATAATCAGTGCAATCCACTGATTATTTGTGTATTTCCGGTCTGATTTTCCAACAATCCTGTCAAAAATCACTATTCTACCGATAATAATTCGGTAATAAATATTCTTTAAGCTAGCCTCTGTACATCCAAAGGTGGGAAGTAATTTTATAAATTAGGATAATATGTCACATAATTTATCCATATTTTTCCTTGAATTTTTGAGGCCTCTATATATTTTAAATAATGGAAATTGGCTAATTTTCCTTAATTAACCAAAAATTCCAATAATTACAAATAATTCCCTGATAAATTATTTTTAATCTTATATTCATCTTCTAAGCCTCAAACATTATTCTGTACCCTCCTTTCTATTTTTCATGATTTTCTGGGAATTTTCAAGAATTTTGGACATTATTTCCAATACTGCCCTTTCTTGACCGATCTTTTCAAGAATGACCGTTATGTCCCTTTCCTGATTTTTCCTCATAGCCTGGATCCTCTACCAGTTTACTATACTATTTGGCCTTAGTCAGTGACAAATCATTCATCAATTAGAATAAAATTATCAGGGTGTGACATTCTATCCATGGATTTAAAGCTTATAGAGTGTATTTTAAGCATGCCAAATTTGAGAATCAGATACAAAGAGTAACTTATTCGAAATAGGCATCAAATCATCACATAATTCTTCTAATTTTCGCTTAGATCCACTTGAAACAACCTTTAATCAATGTGTTCTAACCAAGTTTAACATCAAATCATCCTCCCTCAACTCTTATTAATTTTGGCCAGCACCTTGCCCTAAGGGAAGCCAAACTTTTCAACCATAAAAACCAAAGATTCAAAGCAAGAAACAAGAGGAAATAACTTACTAACCTTAGATCTAAACTTGATTGATCAAAATAGGTGTCTTCCTCTTGATTTAAGCTTCAAGAATCAAAATTGCAAGAGTTTCCCCTAGTGTTCTTCAGCTTGGCTGAAAATGTGAAGGAGGGAGGGTCTATTTATAGCCAAAAATTTGGCTTGAATGGACCAAAATGCCCTTGGTAGCTAGAAGAAGGAGTAAGGGCAATCTTGGAAGTTCAAGTGGACTTTTGCATCATCATTGCATCACTTTCTTGCATCATGCTTACCTCATTCTTCTAGAAGGTGCCAAGTGTCAAAAATGTGGTGGAGGAGAAGGGAGATTAGATCCTAGCCGTTGGATCAAACTTGTTTCATAAGTTTCCTTCGAATTTACTTGGCCCACGTTTCTCCGGCTTTCTTTATGGCCTTTCGAAGCTCAGAAAATTCTTCTGTTTGCTCCATAAATTCCCTTTAATTCTAGAGAATATCTATGAATTTTCTTAGGCCATAACACTTCCTTTAAGCCTTGCGTAAAAATTCATTTACTAAAATACCCTTTCATCGGCAAAGCCAGCTTTTTAATTTATTAAAGCCACTCCACTGGCCTTTTGGTTGCAGGACTAATTTTATAAATTATTAGAATCTTTCAACCATTTAACCTCATTTTTGTATACATTTTTGAGATCTCTTGCTATTTTAAATAATTACCTTAAACCGTATACTTTTTACCGGCTATAACCTCATAAATTCCATTTAAACTGTCTCAAGGGTATTTTTGTCTTTTCTCTTACAAAAGAGCCTTAGACTATTATTTCCCATTTTTTTGGGATTTTCTTGGAATTCTCTGTGTACTCTTCTATTTTTACCCTTGTTGGTCATAACTGTCGGAATTTACAGTTTAGTCCCTGCTTGGACTTAACTTCATATAATCCTCTCTTTGAGGTTTCTAACTTAACCTTTAGCCTGTATCTAGCCTCTTTTCTCTCTTGGGCCTTTGAGACTTTACTAGAGCCTCTAACTTTGATTACACTTTAGCCCCTGTAAACTTTTTCTTTGTAGTTTAGTCCCTAAAACTGCTTTCACTTCCTTTCTCGTCTTTGGGACCTCTGCTCAAAAGGGGTCTAGTAGCCTATTCAATCCAAGCTATTTCTGGTAGTTCTAGGCCCAAAAGTTTGGATGTTACAAGTAGCATGAGTTTCCAAGCTTCAAAGGGGAGTTTCATTTTCAATCTTTAGTTTCTACCTATGTATTTATAATTTCCTAGGTCTAGGATTTGTAAATTCTTAGTGAGGCACTTTGGTTGATTCTGTAATCATTGGTTAATGATTTACATTTGTAGTTTGGATTGGTTGATGTTGAATTTTGTGCTTAAATATATGTGGTCACATATATGCTTCTTTGTAACTCTCATGGTTCTCTCCTATCTTGCACGGTCATGTTTTGATACTGAGTTGATTGTGGGTTACATTGAGCCAATTGCATGATCATTCTCAAATTACACATTAGGGAAGCTTAACAATGTTTTCATTATTTTTTTTTGACCAGAAAACAGTAGCCCATTTTATTAATAACCAAAAAACAAGTTACAAACTACCAATAGCCGAAGCCAAAAAAGAGAAAGAAAGCAAAATAAAAACCTGGAATACAACCTATAAAAAAACAAAAACAGAACCAAAGGAACACCTAGAGTACAACCTAATAAAAGCAAAAAACAAAACCAACAGAAAGTAAAGAAACACCAGTAACAAGAAGAAGGAAACAAGCAAGAAATTAACCCACACCAGTCCTCGCTTGACAAAAACCAGCACCAACATCAGCAACACACCGAGACCTATCATCAGACAAAAGCTTGGCAAGAGAGGGTGGAGGTTGATCAGGACAACCCTCAAAACACACCCCCTTTGAGCTCGAAGCTGCCAGCCAATCTGCAGCCTTGTTACTTGATCTATAAACTAGACCAAAAGACACATCTGATGCAGATCTCAGACTCATCACAATGTCCTCCACTACAATTTGAGACTGCCATTCACAACCATCACTAGAATTACACTTCACAGCCTTGAAAAGAGCTTCACAATCAGTCTCAATTAGAAATTTACCACTACCACTCAGCTTTATCATGTCTAAAGCCTTCCTAGCAGCAAGAGCCTCAGCCATAAATGCAGATGAAGCCTTTACCTCGTCAGCATATAAATTCCTCACCTCACCAAAATGGTTTCTAAAAATCACTCCAATTCCAGCTTTTCCAGTCTTGCTCCGGAATGAGCCATCAATGTTCACCTTAGTGATATCTTGCTCAGGTGCCTTCCAAATGTAACACCCCATGTTTAAATCAATTAACTTTCCTTGCGGAAGCATTTGGAATCACTTTTGAAGGCTATAATTGATGAAAAATCAAGTTTGAAAATTTTCATTTACGGGTTACTATTCATTGTCACCTTAAAATGTGACAAACTTCGAAAATTCATAACTAATTGTAGAAAAACTGAAATTGAGTGATTCCAAGTTCTACAGAAAGCTCTTTGGATAAAATTTTGAGGAAAAATAGTTTCTGAACTGATTGCCTTGAAATTCGAGCTCAATTTCCTTTGAAAAAGTTACTGTTCATTTGGTCATTTTCAGATTTTACTGTATTTTTTCCTAACTTTGGAAAGGCATAACTTTCTTCTCGGTTATCGGAATCGGGCAAACTACCCCTCATTGTAAAGAGACACATCAGATCTCTTTGCTTGCCAAATCTTATGACCTAACTCACTCGTTTGATAGGTCAAACTGGAGCTACAAATTCACTGCTCCAGGACTTACGTTTTATCCCTTAACGTCTCTTTAATTCCTTTTATTTCTTTGGCATACATAACATGGCCTTACTCTTTCCCGTTCATGCTCATACACTTTCATTCATGCCATAAATATTATAATTAAATACATGGCATCATTGGCATCCATAACATAGTTCACAAAATAGTAGAATTATACATTTATCAACAGTCTCATCCATTAACAAGAATAATTCTCCGCTTACTTCTCCTTGCTTCTCATGCCATTATTGCCCATCATTGATTGACCTAAATGGTTGGTTAGGGAGGGGTGAGATTCGGGGAAATCTCAGTAGCAAACACTACCCATGAGCATGCAAGACATAATGCACATGCATGACATGTTATAACATTAACACATGAATGCCATGGAAAGTAAGCTAAAGCATTTCATGCTTCCATAACATGTTGCCAAGGCAAAACATAACATAAACTTGCAAACACAACTTTTCAAACATTTCATCATAGCTTAGTCACATCATGGCAACACAATCACATCATGCAAGCATCATATCAAGCACACAGTATAGGTAAGTTCACTACCTTGTAACATGGCTTTCCCCTTGCTTTTCCTTTGATTCCCTTGTCTTTCCAACCATGTGGACATTCGGTCAACATCACCAAACATCCTCTTGGATGTTCCAAAGGTCCTAAACATAGTCACATTGATCATACAATCCATTAGGACCACTAGATTACATAAAGTTCAAGACTAGCTTTCTTGAACCTCAACCCTTTCTCTTAGTCTTAGGGTTTTCTTTCCAACTTTTCTAACATAAATCTTATCATTTCCCATCCTTAAGATCCATTTCTTGTCAATTAGGACCACTTTAGATGGCCTTAGATTCAAGAATACCAAATCTGGAAATTTTGCTTCGCGGGTACTGTTCACACAGAATTTCCAGAATTTTTGCTCAACTTTGGAAATTCATAATTAATTCTAGAAAAATCCAAATTGAGTGGTTCCAAGTCTCACTGAAAGATGCTTAAGTAACTTTACACGAAAATTAGTTCCAGGAACCAATTCTACGCCAAACAGTACCGGAACTGTACGGAACTCGAAACTCTTCCAAAAGTTCAACACTGTTTCCAGATTTCAAACCCTAACTTTGAAAAATCACCATAAATCGTACACATATCCAAATGAAGTGTTCTACCTATGGATTTAAAGCTCACAGAGTGTACTTTAAGCGTGCCAAATTTCAGAATCAGATACGCACACTAACTAATCCGAAATAGGCATAAAATCAGGTGCTATATACCTTGTTTTAGAGTTTGATCTGGCTTGGAACCACTTGGCCCTTCTTTCTCCCTCTTCTTTCTCTCTCTAGAAACCATTTTGCAAGAGCTTCCCCATGGATTCCTTATGCTTGGACGAAATGGTAGGGAGGGGAGGGGGTATTTATGGAAAAACAGACTGAATCTGGACCGTTGATCTTAAAAATACGTGGCTCGATCTGGACCGTCCATTTTCTCTTTTGATCTTACGGTGACAAGTGTCCTATGACATCATGCTTACCTCATCATGATGACATCATGCTTACATCATCAAGCCACATGTCTTTAATCCGACCGCACACGTGTCTTGCATCTGACCGTACACGTGTCTTCCATCTAGCCGTACACGTAATATTTTCTTTTTCTCATCTAACCGTACACTTGTCACTTTCATGTTCTTTCATGATTTATGGCATTAAAATAGGGAGAAAATAAATGGAAAATTCGTGCAAAAATATTTTCTTAATTATTTCTCCACCTACCAAGCCAATCTTGCACCGTATCAGATACTTTTCGGGTCTTGACTTATCCTGTACCACCAGGACATGTTCTGACACTATTTTCTCATCTTAATAAGTACATATATGGTGCCACCTTAGAGGAGCAGAGGGAAAAATAATTAGCTCTACTGACAGGCTACTTAACCTTACTGAGTCATGCAGTAGAGATTTCACTATAACGGGTAGACAAAAGACTGTCTAAAATATTCCCATACTGCGTTCTGATTTTTATGCTGTCCATAAATTTCTTCTGGTGAATCAGCATGATGACTCGTCGGTGTCATGATTACGCTTGGTGACTCAGCATGATGACTCGTAGGTGTCATGATTACGCTTGATGACTCAGCATGCTGACTCAGCATCGTCATGATGGCTCTTAGATATTTTCTTTGGTTTTGTCTCCTATTTAGGGGACAAAATTATTTAATATTTGACTGGAGCATTTTATTCAATCCAGAGCTCCGAAAATTCATCCAAAAAATATCATAAAATTCCTCATATTCTAGAGAAAATCTGTGAATTTTCTCAGGTCATAACTCAACCTGTAGCCCCACTTAAAAATCATTCTTTAAAATGCCTTTTTTCGGCACAACTGGCTTTTAAGTATTCTTAAAGCCATTTTGCTGGTCTTTTGGGGATGAGACTAATTTTATAATTTTCTATAGTCTCTTAGATCATACATCCCCATTTTACCATAATTTTCTGAGGTTTCCTTATGACTCAAACAATTAAATTTACCTCTACATCTCAAATTGAGCCATAAACTTATAAATTCCTTTTAAGTTACCTCAGGGGTATTTTCATCATCTCTCTTTACAAAAGAGCCTTAGAACATTATTTCCCATTTTCTGGGATTTTCTTAGAATTTTCTAAGTACTTTCCATTTTTACCCCTGATGGCCGTAACTTTCTGAATTTACGGTTTTACCCTTGCTTAGGCTCAACCTCATAAAACCATCTATTTGAGGCTTCTAACTTAACCTTTGGTCTGTATCTAGCCTCTCTTCTCTTTCTGAGCCTTTGAGACATTACTGGAGCCTCTAACTTTAATTACCCTTTAGCCCCTTAAAACTTTCACTTTGCAGTTTAGTCCCTAAAACTGCTTTAACTTTCTTTCTCATCTTTAAGACCTCTACTAAAAAGGGGTCTGGTAGCCTATCTCATTCAGGCTATTTCTAGTACTTCAGGGCCCAAAAATCGGGATGTTACACCAAACAAACCTCTCCCCCTTAGGAAAGTTACCATCCTTCTCCCTCATCCATCCCCTGGCCACCCAAAACTCATTCACTAGGGCAATAGCATTTTGCAGAGCTCTTCCTAGTTGCAACTCAATGTCCTAGAAAATAACACTGCACCTATCTTTTCAAATACTCCAACAGATTGAAGCAAGCAGAGCTTTTTGAAAATCATTACCTTTTCTTCCTTCACCACTCATCTTCCAGAACCAATCATCAAATCTGAAATGCCTCTCTCATTCAGCACAATTCCAATGGGGGAGCCAAACCAGATCCTTTTAACCCAATCACACAGCAGTAGGTAATGCTCAATTGTCTCGTCACTTCTACCACAAATTCTGCACACGGGGTCCTTGCAGCATTTCTTTCTAAACAGACTTTCTCCAGTGGCTAGGCTTCCATTTACAGCTCTCCAGATGAAATGCTGAATTTTAAGGGGTACCTTCAAATTCCAGATCTCATTCCATATACCCTCAGGTATCATATATGATGTCTCGGGCCTCAATCCTGTGGGTGCACTTTTTCCATTCTTTAGGTAATTATATCCAGCTTTGATTGAATATTCACCATTTCTATTTCCTCTCCAAATCAGTCTATCTTCTTTTCCACTTCTAGAGACAGGAATTCATATGATATCTGTAGCTATATCAGTGCCAAACATTTCTAGAAGTAAATCTTCTTTCCACAAATCATTTTCCAAAAGATCACAAACAAGTACCTCAGAATTGGTAGAGCCGCTGAACACAGAATCCTTAAGCGCACCTTCACCAACCCACCAGTCCTCACATACCTTCACTCTCCTACCGTCCCCAATCCTCCAGCTAAGATTCTGTTTTAGCAGGTCTCTTCCCTCTAAGATGCTTGACCAGCCCTAAGATGCTCTACCTCCCTTTATGGCCTTCAGAAAATCAGATCTTGGAAAGTAAAGGCCCTTCAGCATTCTAACCCACAAAGCATCTGGGTTTTGAATAACTCTCCAAGCAGTCTTAGCAAGCATAGCTAAGTTAAAGTCAGCAAAATCTCTGAAGCCTAATCCTCCTATCTTTTTTTTGCTTGGTTAGTACATTCCAAGCTTTCCAATGGATGCCATCACCTTTAGACCCCTTCCCCCACCAGAATTTCGAAATTAGGCCATCAAATTCCTTACAGGTCTTCAGAGGCATTTTAAAACAAGTCATTGGGTAGACAGGAACTGCATTAGCCACAACTTTTATCAGCACTTCTTTTCCAGCTTGAGTGAGGAATTTTTGCTTCCACCCTTGAATCTTCTTTATCATTTTCTCTCTGATAAAAGCAAGAGACTCAGCTTTTGATCTGCCCCAGATAACAGGAAGACCAAGATATTTACCCGGATCGCTTGTTTCTTTAATCCCCATCCACTCACAAACTCGATTTCTTCTGGTTTCATCAATGTTCGCAGAAAAGAAAATGCCAGACTTTTCCAGATTAACCAGCTGGCCTGATGCTTTTCCATAAATAGCAAGAATTTCCTTCAATCGTCTGCAATTCTTTTTTGATGCCTTCATAAAAAAAAAGAATCATCTGCAAATAGACAATGTGACAGAGTTGGACAAGACCGATTCATATTAATACCCTTCAACACTCCACTTTCCACGTTTTTTCAGACCATATTAGATAGAACATCTGCAACTATGATAAAGAGATAAGGTGATAAGGGGTCACCTTGTCTCACACCCCTTCCAGGACTTACCTCTGCAATCCTTTTTCCTGAGAGCATGATAGAGTATTTTACTGTTCTGACACAGTTCAAAACACAATTCACCCATCTCACATCAAAGCCCAACTTCAACATTACAGCTTCAAGAAAGTCCCATTCAATTCTGTCATAGGCTTTACTCATATCCATTTTCAAGGCAAATTAAAACTGGAAGAATTCTTGTTTCTTTTCAAGTAGTGAAAAGCTTCATGAGCTAGAATGATATCATGAATCATTCTTCCTTCCACAAAGGCACATTGATTCTCTGAGATGATCTTTGGCATAAAAAATTTCATTCTATTCGTTAGAACTTTCGAAAGTACCTTATAACAGAAATTACACAGACTTATGGATCGATACTGTGTCACTACTTCAGGTTTATTAACTTTAGGTATCATAACCAAGTCTGTAAAGTTCACCGAGTCAATTAGTTCTCCTTTTTCAATGCAGTTTTTAACAATTTCAAACACCTTCTCGCCAATTACTTCCTATGAGCAGTGATAGAATTGCCCAATATAACCATCAGGTCCTGGAGCCTTTCTTCCCCCATCTGAAAACAGGCTTGCTTTACCTCTTCTCTAGTTACACTCCTCATCAGACTTAGATTTTCAGAATCAGTAACCATACATTCTACATACTCAAGAGCCTCAGATATGTCTCTATTACCAGACTCCGAGAATAAGCCTCTGTAATAACTAGTAAATTCATCCGCTATGGCATTCTCTTCCTCCAACCATCTGCCTGTATCGTTCTTCATCCTTAGAATCTTATTTCTGACTCTGTGTTGCACAGTGGTGAGGTGGAAGAACTTGGTGTTTCCATCTCCTTCTCTCAACCATTTCACCCAAGACCTTTGATGCCAATATTTCTCTTCTAGTTTCCAGACTTCCTCTAGTTCCCCAATAATTGCCTCTTTCTGCCGTAGGACCTCTTCAATTAGGATTTGTTCATTATGAGCTTCTAGTTTGCCCATCAAACTCTCAATTCTTTTTCTATTATTAGGAAAAACTCTTCTACTCCACTTCTTCAGATCTTTGCTACAATTTTTCAATTTTAGAGCAAGCTCTTCTGAGACAAACTCAGTATGGTGAACTTTGTGATCCTAACTTCTTTGAACTATCCCTCCAAACTCCTCATGCTCACACCAATAAGGTTCAAATCTGAAAAGTCTGGGACTTTTATTCTATTGATAATGGAAGTCAACCACCAGAAGATGATGATCTGACCCCACAGGTTCCCGGTGAAACACAATTGCTTTTGGAAACTTTTCCCTCATTTCTCCATTTCCAAAGACCCTATCAATTCTTTCCTTAATATGGGCCTCTCCCAGTCTACCATTTGCCCATGTAAATCTGGACCCTTGAAACTCTAGATCCATGAATTCACAGTCACTAATCATCTTATGGAATCTCAGGATTTTTTGAGCAGCCTTAGGATTACCTCCCATCTTTTCATTTTGATCTAGGATCTCATTGAAGTCTCCACCACATAACCAGGACCTATTAATTGAACCAGCCATTCTCTTCAACCTCTCCCAGACTCTACTTCTTTTTGCTTCTTTTGGGGGACCATACACCAGTGTGAGATATTCAGGTACTTCCTCATTTGAACAGGAAATATTAGCATGAATAATATTTTGACAGCATGAGATCAAGTTGAAGCTGAGTTCTTCCTTCCACCATACCGCCAGGCCACCACTTCTTCTTCTCGAGTCCACATAAATTTCATTCTGGAATCCCATTTTCCTCCTTATTTTCATCATGTAACTCTGATGCTTCTTAGTTTCCATTAAAAACACTAAAGAAGGCCTATGTTTTTGACAAGCTTCCTTTAGGTTTTTCACTGCCAGGGCCGTACCAAATCCCTGACAGTTCCAAAAAATGAAGGTCATTGTTCCTTGGTGACTGATTGTGGCCAGTCACCAAAACCATCAACAGGAACCAAGTCAGCTTCCCTCACAATCACTTGAGAAACAAAATCGTTCACCAGACATGGATTTGCTTCATATCTTTTCCCTTGCCTAGATTTCTTTTTGATAAAACGGAGTCTCCTCCTTGTTTCCTTTTTCTGACCAGAAATTTTAGGTTGACTAGGTAAGTCTGGAAGTTCCTCCACACATAGCTTTCTTCTCTTCACATTAATTACCTCCTCATCTTTCTCATTTTTCCTTTTCAATGCAAATTTTTTTAATCCACGTGTCACCTCAGATATGGGAGAAGTATTCCCAAACACAACCAGTGCTTTTGAAAGATCTTCTTTCACGACTTCTAGAGAGCAATTCTCTTGCAGAACAACATTAGCAGTACTTCGCTTTATTAGCCTTCTTTCTTCCTTTAGTGCACAACAGTTTTCCTTACCTACTGCATTCTCATTGTTTAATACAGAAGACTCTCTCACTTCAATTGGTTGTAGCACCTTCTTCATGGATTCAGAAGCTTCCTCAATCTTATTTGAAATATACTCTACCTTATGCACATCCTGACAATTAGAATTAGCAGCCTCATCAGTGTTTATTTTTTCCTCAGTCACCGATTTCCTTAGTCTAGTTAATTTTGGGTACTCTTTTTTCGATTCATCAGAGTATTTCTTGATACCATCAGCTTCCTCCTAGTCAGTCTTGCAAACTCGAATTGCCTCATTAATACGACGAGCAGCCTGAGTACCTAACCAAGAGCCATATTCAGCTGGCACTCCCTCTTCCTTTTCAACAGTGTGACCGCAAGCTCTCATATCATGTCCAACTCTGCCACACGCAAAACAGAAGTTCTGCAACCTTTCATAATGAGCCTTGATCCAAATAGGATCCCTGCCTTTCCTTGGAGACCACATCCCAGTCACTAAAGGTTTCCTCAAATCAACAAGAACTCTGACTCGAAGAAAACTTCTACTTAATAGACTGTCATTTCTTGGATCTTCTACCATGAGAACTTCTCCAATCAAACCTCCTAACTTCACAGCATTATCAATGTCCATTGCAGCAGGTGGAAGATCGTGAAATTGAATCCAAAACGGACAGTAATCAAAATTTACCTCTCTAATGATCATCTCATCGTCCCACCTCTGTATGTTTAATAGCAGACCATTAATCGACCACAGCCTCCCCCTTAATACTTTGTCATAATCCTCTTTCTTGCGAAATTCAAATGTAAAGGCCTTTCGATCTATTTCAGCAATTTCCAGATCTTCGTGCTTCGGTAGATTCTAGCCTTTACGAATCATTTGCATAGCAGTCGCTGGATTAAGAGCCTTCTCTGCCATAATTCTACCAACAAGCGTGCCTCCAACATATTTACGTTCTTCATTCTTTCTCCATTTCAACTCAACTTCCAATCCACTAGGTTTTCTACTCGAACTTCCGACTTCACACTTCTCACCAGCCTCCATCTGTGACGCTCACCGTTCCTCCGAAAGAAACTTCCGTAAATCTCACAATATTTCTCTGTTACAATGCATAACAGAGAAACCACTCTTTTTGCTCTCTATTGCAGTGGGCGACGAAGATCACTCTGTAATAATCTCTAGCCACCGCAATGCACGGTGGAAGAGCAGATCCGCAAGGAAATCAACGATAACCGTCGTAACGACCTCTCACGTGGAGAGAGAGAACTCCCACTCAGGAGAGAGGTTCCAATGTTTTCATTAATGAAGTTTATTGATTTAAACATTGGACTCAATGAGTTATTGAAATTGTTATTAAGAAAACCTAATGGATTTGTGAAACTCCCAATATCTTAAGTGAACTATGATTGCTATCAAAACCATTTTCAAGAGATTTACTATCATTTATTTCCATTCCATCATTATTATCTTAAAACACCAAAATATAGTATCTTAGGTTTGTTTTCATTGCATTTAGTTTAGGCACCATTCATTTAAATCTTAAAAACCCAAAACCCCATTTCATTGCATTGCATGGCATTTAGTCTAGCTTAGGTAATTAATAAAGGCTCCCAAAAGTGAAACGACCTGAGTTTGCACTATACTGCATAACTTGGATTTATTTTTGATTGAGAACCCCAAGACAAACGACAAAGGTCCTCATCAGTTTGTCATCTGAGCAGCCATGCTTTTCAAAAGTTGAGAGGTGTCATCTCCTCTTAGCGATGGTTGAGATACCATAGTCTGTTATGGGGTTGTCACCACTGCTCTTGAAGGATCTTGAAATGTGCTTGAGGAGGCCCCATGATTGTGGAATTGATTGCCTTGGAACTGGTTTGGTCTATTTGCTCCCCCATCCCATTTGAAGTTTGGATAATCTCTCCAACTGGGGCTGTAGGTGTTTAAGTAGGGGTCCCTTTTCCCCCTCTCTTACTTGGTATATGGCATTCACTTCTTCAACTGGCCCAAGGCAATTTGAGGTAGTATGCATCAGTGACTGACAAACTTCACAACTTGTAGCTACTAGGGCAAGAGAGTGAGTTTTGTTGGAGCGAAGGCTTTCAACTGTATTTGCAAGTTTAGACATGTCTTGGGCTAGCTTTACCAAGAGGGGGTCTCTTTCAGATTTGGGGTTTCTTGAATCCCTTGAGCTCACATGTTGTCTATTAAGAGCAAAGGTCCTTATCAACTCCCATACAGCTCTTGGTTCCATATTTTCCACAGACTCATTTGCAGCGGCATCCAAAACTTGTCCATCATATGTTGACAACCCATTGTAGAAATATTACACCAAATACTCCTTAAGAATCTGATGGTTGGGGCACCAGGTGAGCATCTCTTGAAATTGACTCCAAAATTCAATGAACATCTCAAATGCCTCTTGCTTAGCTGCTAAAATTTCCTTGTGGGCGGCTGAAATCTTTGTGGAGGGAAAGTATTTATCCAAGAATGCTTTCTTCAAACTGGTCCATGACTCATAGGCATTGTCCACATAGAGTGGCAAGTTCATGTACCATTCTTTAGCTTTGGCTTCCAAAGATAAGTGAAAAACCTTCCACATGACATCATCAATACTGGCTCCTACTGGATTCATGGACAAGTATTGCATATAAAGAGTCTGGAGGTGCAAGTATGAGTTTTCTCCTGCAAGACCATGGAACTTAGGCAATGAGTGAATCAATTGACCTTTAATTTCAAAATCTGTATTGAAAGTAGGAAAAACATCAGGCATAGGTTCAAAGTTCCCATCAGATTGAGTTAGTTCCTTAATGGTTCTACTCCTAGGTTGTTCATTAATCCTATTGTGGCCATTATTTTCTCCTTACCCCTCGTTACCACTGTTATTAGGTCTATTATGGTTACCATTCCCATTCCTACCGTGAGGAGGTACTTCAGCCATAATTTTTTCTTCTACTTCCTCACTCTCACTAGAAGACTAGGGTAGGGCTTGTAAAATAAGCGGGCTATGAGATCCTGTATGTCTACCTCTCCTGCCTCTACGCGCTCTAGGCATGTACAATTACTTCAGAATTCAAGCACAAATAGAGTTCAAGAAAGATGTAAGTTCAAAACTGTATATTTACCAAGTGTGTAGTTCAAAATTGAGGCAAACTCAATGATTTCAAATAATGTTCGGTGAGTTTGAGGTGTATACAGTGCTATACACTCTTAAAGTATGTGCAAAAAGCAAAGTTATGCAAAAAGAGTAAGTCAGAACACTCAGGAAGATTTTTAGTGGAAAACCAGATCAGGTCCCGACTTGCAAAAGTCTAGCTCCTTACTTCAATGGACAGAAAGCAACCCTGAAAGAAAAGGAAGTCAAGGTCGCGACTTGCAAAATCCCAGGTCATGACTTAAACAGACCGAGAGCAACACTGGATAACAACAGGTTGAGGTTGCGACAAGCCACAAGTCAGGTCGCGACTCAACCACTTAGGTTGCGACACCAAATATGTGAGGTCACGACTCAAGGTCACATAGAGCTATTTTCGCAAAATCTTTGAAGAAAAATACTAAGTACTTCAACCAGATGCTGATCAACTATGCACAGAGTTCAAAATTTCAAGCAATTGGCTAAAACACTCAGGATCAAGCTAGAATAAAATGCAAAATGCTATGCAAAAAATGCAAATGCAAATGTATAGGAAAAACAAGATATTTGGTTATATTTCTCAAAACTTTTGATGCTATGAAATTTTTAAGTTCAAAAACTAAAACTCTACAAGAATCGACCCAAATCACAATGGTAAGGAAAACCAATTACTAGGGAACCAATTCATGGCTCCTTGGCAACGACGCCATTAATCGATATGCTGGACTGTCACCTTCCAGATCGTCAAGAAAGAGAGTTGCACCAGATAAAATGTAGTATAGGATGCAACCAGTTGTTCTTCTCGAGGAGCTTGTTATTGGAAATCCTAGCCTAAATTGGGTTTCAGAAACATTGTAAAAAGAGGGTTTTAGTTGTTTTAAAAGTGGTGCAACAAATGCAAAGTGCAGAAAATTAATTATTTTTGGTATTTTGAATGAATGAAAAAATGTTTTGGATTAAAAGAGAATTATGGTTAAACAGTCTCTTGATGATGAAAGCTTAGCTGTCACTGCTCTTTAGAATGATTGGGAGTTTGGAAAACCTCTAAGTCTGAAGAAAACCCCAAGTAATCACTTGGGTCCAATGTCTTGATTAATGAAAACTCACTTTAACCAAAGTTAATTAACACCTCATAAGACACTACTGAAAACCAGTTAGAGTGTAAATGAATGAATGATGCAAATGCCCTCTGAATGTCAATCGACAACCACTGAATACCAAGCACACAGATTAATCAACAACTATCACTGATAATCAAACTGAACACAAGG